TAAGATTGCACCGATCCAAAGTACACAATGTATAGAGCGTTTTCACTTACGTGGCCAGAATCTATGCAAATTTATTGAAACAAAAGAAAGCGTTTGCATAAGAAAAGAGTTCAACTCCCAAAGGATTGGTTTGGAACACCAACATGGCCATCGTTCTATTGTTTTGGAACACCAACATGGTCGCCGTAAATACATGTGAAAACACTCTATAGATCGTTTTCACTGTCACGCAACAAAAAATTAAATTGGAAACCGTCCAGTAGAAGAAGCCAAGAAAATGAAATGTTGTAAAAGACTAATATACAAACAATTCGTCCAAGTCTCAGGTCTTTGTGGCCCATAGTTTCTGAGTTATTTGCCTAAACGTTTCGCGCACCTTTGTAGAGCTTTGTATGGAGACGCCATATTGGTGCACCGTTTTGGTGCACCAATATGGCCGCCGGAAATCAACAAAAACATCTGGAGTTCACTTTTTCTATAAAAGCTCTTTCTTTTCACTCGAGAACTAGCATATACGTACACATAAACATATCTCCTAATACTTGCAGTGGTTATACTGCTGAAAATCAAGAGGGGAGACTTTTTTTCAACGAGACAGCATTCCTATTCTGGTGTCACGCACTGTGAAAACTCGGAAGTTCAAATTGCTGTATTTGCGAAACGAAACATGCTACGGAAAAGGAAACCTGTACAAAGATTTACTTTTTGTTTATCTTCAACTTTATGTAAATAAGAATTCGTAAAACCTCGCTATCTGGACTTTACAATTTGATGACGTCACAGTGAAAACCATCTATAACGTTAAAACCACCACTTTTCGGTTAGTCTGCTACACTCCTGGGGAGGAGCGTTGCGTGACGACACTAAAAACGGCTGTGTAGCAGACTAGTTTTCGGTCTGAACGTTTGATTGCTAGTAAGTAATTGTGAAGAACAATTCCCCATACCGACTGTTGGCCAGCTGTCGGGCGACCGTTGATCGACGTTCGGCCGACAGTTGGTTGTGTCGAGTTCTTCTTCATACTGAACTAGCGAATAGTTTGAGGAACTTATTTAGCAATCTAGATTCGCGCCAAAGTCAATCTAGGAATAAGCTGCTGTTTCGAGAAAATGCCTTGATTCGAATACATAGGAATTGATGGCTCCTAGCCTGCCTCCTTTCTCTCTATCCCCTACCCCTCTCGACGCCTGCTACGCAGGCTAGATAGCTCCGGCCTAGTTGTACATTTCCTCACACAATTAGTCAGTCACAATTTGATAAAGGATCACAGCATTTTTCTTTGGTGATCATTTATTTATTCTTGAAACCTTTTTCTCTTGGTTTGATGTGGATGGTAAAACGCGCAACATCAATATTCAACAGTTTTGCAGCAGGCTGCAAGACAAGTTGCATGTCTTCTGTTGCCTGTTTTCCCGTACCTTACGAAAAGTTTGTGTTCTTTTTTTCTTTAGGTGCACCCATCATTTCCGTGATGGTGTCTTCCGGAATTGCCTTCCATCATTATGGCCCACACAACATGTAATTATTTTGATACTTTACAAAAAGGAACAGTCTTTATAGATTGCAGGTTTATTGTTGGAATTGCGTGTTTTGTTCTATAATTTGACGAAAAATGTTTTAAGACGGCTACGAAAAAATGGCAGAGCCAAAAAAGTTTTCCCAACAAAACTAAGGTTATTGTAAAACATCATTGTATCTGGGTGAGAGAGTAGGCAGTTTATCATTAACCTGGAGCAGATCTTTTAAAAATTTCAAGATGCTTTGTTATTACTGAGATAGGATGTGTCGGGTACCTTTTTTTCAAAACTGTCTCCCCTTCATAATCGCTGTTAACTATACGACTGGTTCTACGATCGAGCAAGATGAAGCGAATCTCCGGCGGCCAATTCCCAGCCAAATTAAAGTTACCTCATATATGTTGACTTATACCGAATGACAAGTAAGACATGGTTCTCTTCGTGATTAATGTCGCGAGTTCACAATATTCTCATGTTGATTTTAAAGGGGAAGCACTTGTTCAGGATTAAAGTGTTCATCCAGTGTATAAAGTTCTTACTATTTCGATGTTTTAGTTGCTGGTTGTCTGGGAAGCTGATATGGGCTTTTGCTGCACCTGTATTGTTTGTTATACTAGTAAGTACTTTTTCTTTGCGTTTACTATTTACAGTTTATCAAAAGGACCTACCGGATCAGTCTTCTCAGTTTACAAGCTTGTTCCTCTCGTAGCGAGATTTATAAATGCGTTGCGCGTGAATCGCACGAGAAACTCAACGTGGCCTGATTTGGGTCTGTCCATGTACACGTGTGTCATGTTGGATTTTAGGAAACGCCTTTGCTACAATAGACTTCTTCCGTCAAGCAGTTTTTTTCGTTCAAACATCTCCAAATTAGACAATAAAAAACTAAGAGTATTACTTTTTCTTTATTTTTCCTCGCTCCTCTATTTTTCCTCCTTTTCCTTCCTTCCTTGTGATTTCTGGGCTTATTATTAAGCCTCCTTTCATTCAAATGAGTACAGTTTTCAGTAGGTACGTATTCAAAAATCCAGTCATTAATCAGCTATTGGATGAGGCTGAGTATGAATTGACGAACTGAGCCCTTCTCGTTATCACAGTGATAATTATTCAAAATATTTCCAGCTTCAACAAAACATGCCTACCTCGCTCTATGTGCAGCCCCGTCTTCATTACTTGATCCTCGGCAGTTTAGTGTTTTGAAGGGATGTTTATTCTAGCAGTCATTTTTTTGTATGTAGAAAAGAAATTGTGGCTACGTTCCCATGGCACCGGACAAATTTTCGAACGGCTGACAAATTAGAGCAGACAATGTCTGTTCAATATTTTCGCTTTGTTCACACGAAATTTGAAAACGGCCAGGCGTCTAAATTTCGTACGGTTTCTCTGTGTGAGTGAACAGAACACCTTAACGCACGCATTTTCAACCTGTCGAAAATTCGTCCGGAGCCGTGTGAACGCAAACCTTAGCGAGGGGGCGAGTGGATGCTAGCGACATGCGGTTTCACCGTCCGCGTCTGCCGGTCCCTGCGTACACATTAGGGAGCTTAAGTAACGACGACGGTGACGGCAACGAGAACGGCAGAAATGCAATAGGTTTACATTGGTAAAACAACAACTTTGCACATTCATCACGCTTTTTTGTACATTTCTTTGCCGTCGTTGAACACCTACAACGTGGAACTTCCTATTTTCACGTTTTGTGGAGGACATGAACACAAAACAACAATTTTCTTTTTCTTTTCCTGAAGTTCGATACAGTCGTTCAGAATTCAACTCCAGAAAAATTCGCCATTATTTGCCGAATTAAACGAGATGAAATAAACACGATTAAGTTTGAGGCAGCGTGAATATACTTTTTAAATAACGTTTTTGTAGCCGTCGCGGTAGTCATTGCTTAAGCTCCCTATCGTGGGGGAGGGGGCGGGGGGGAGGGTTGAATGTGAATTGCTTCCGTAGACCTTAAATTTGAAAGAACTTACAATCCCCCAAAATTAACCGTAAATGAGCAATTCACTTTTGCTTTTCACTTTTTTACTAATTCTTTTAGTTTAAAAGGCTGAAGTAACTTAACCTGTAAGTACGATGTCTTTTACAAAGTAATGAGGTGAAATTATGCGTTGCTTCTTTATTAGGTAAACTGCTTTATCCTCATCAGTGTTATATACGTTTTATTGACAAAGACGATGGTAAAGGCTGGAGAAGAAAACTCGACCAAGAAATCCAATACAAGGTAAACTATACTGAGGGGTGAAACAGTTAAACTGCCAATAAGATCAGATAGAATCTTCAAGAAGTATTATATCAAACATGTGGAGGAGCGTTGAATCCGATGTCCAATCACAGGGGAAGGGAGTGTTTCATCCAGCATCCGATATTCAAGACCAAGAAGTTAAACACGAGTGGAAGTGTTTCATCACATATCCAGACACCGAGAAGTGATATATCAGACACTGGGAGAAGTCTTTGATTCGATATCCCAGCACAGAAAATTAGTATATAAAACACGAGAGGGAGTGATTCATCCAATATCCAGACACCGAGAATTAATATGTCAGACGCGAGTAGGAGTGTTGAATCGATGATCCGGTATCTTAAACCGAGAAGTAATATATCAAACTCGAGTCCAAACACCTACAAGTGATATATCAAACGGGAGACGTGTTTCAAACGATATCCAGACACTTGAAAGTTATACATCAAACACTGACGAGAAGTTTTTTACATCCGATTTTAAAACACGGAAAAGAAAAATACAAAACACGAGAGAGTGCGTTAAACTCTATACCCAGTCATTACAAAGTAATATATTAGACACGAGAAGAAGCAATAGATAGAACATAGGTTGCTGTGCTGTGTTTCATCTGATATCTAAGATACTGAGGATAAAGATATAAAACACGAGACAGAAGTTAAATTGGGCATCCAGACATCGAGAAGTAATGTATCAAACTCCATGCACATACACGAAATATACACGACATATGCTTACACAGCCTGCGAATACAGCCGTATTTCCTCGCTCTACGAAACGTCCTAAGCGGCGAGAAGCGAGAAGAGACGGCTGCATTCGCAGGGAAATGCAAACACCGAGTAGAAGGTTCTCTGTCAGGCACTAGATATAAGAAAGCATTGTATCTCACCCTTCCCGGCTTTTGGCGAGAAGTAGTTTTATTGCAAGATGTCATGTGATCTCGAAGCAACCAATGACAACGCACGCTGTTGGGGAAAATACCCAGCTATATGATAATGTCGTTTTTTTTCTTTTTCCCGCCCAGACGCAGTATAAAAGTGACGGTGGTTTTGCTGCCTTTGCTTGGCCTCACCTGGGTTTTCGGATTTATGGCTGTCGATGAGAACACGATCTTCTTCCACTACATTTTTGCAACTATCAACTCTCTGCAGGTATTTAATATGATATGTATCCATGTGAAGTTTGGTTTGAACGGGGATAGCACGGTGCGTTGGTTAATGGGGTTGCACTTGCACTGATGTGGTACGTTAAATAAATGACTCCTCTCTACAACCTCAGACAAATGCAGTTGGAAATAACTAAAAAAACCCACTTTTTTCCCTGTCATCCTGACTAAACTAAACACCGTCGCTTAATGAATCGGCGTTCTCCTCCGCATCTTTTCCAGTGCTGTCTTGGCTAACAGAAGACGTTGATTTTTGACCAACATACCATTAAACGGGAAGTGGAAGGCAGTGACTTTATTCTGGTTTGATGATGCCGTCGTATCTCGCGTAATATTTATTGAAACTGTTTCCGAGGTTGTCGCTTACTTGCAGTAGGGGTTTGGTCATTCATTGTTTATCGGATAGATAAAGGAAACTTAACTGACACAGGTTAAGCCCACATCCTAAGGCGAGGACTAATCAAAGTTTTTTTTTTCAGTCTTTTTAAAAGTCAGTTAAAACCAAAGGGGTATGGGGTACAGAAAGAAAGAGAGTGGAGAATAGTTATGGAAGAAAAGTGAAATGCACTTGATTCCACGGAAACAACACACTCCGTAGGAGTACAATCCTTAAGAAAAATGACTTAATCATGACAGCTACGAGTTAAACGGCATGCGGTTTAAATAAGTAAAGAGAAGATCGCAGTTAAAGACGCAAGTTATGCAGTTAGGAAAAGAAAGCCAGAAAAAATTCAGGCTTGCCGGGACTTAATTTAAGCATGTTCAGGCATAGCTTGAGCCTAATTTGCAAAAAACTTTAATAATCATAAATTTGTGATAATTTACCAGGGCCCAGTTGTTCGAACGCCGGTTAGCACTAACCCGGGGTTAAATTTTAACCCGGCTTTCTTTTTCTTGTTATCAAAAGCACTCTCTCGGATAATTTTCTCTATTCTTTTTAGAGTATCCAATCATCTAATTGTAGGCAAAAAGAGTAAAACTGAATTTGAATTTTAAGCTCTAATATCTGAGTTTCAAAGTTCGCACTAACCTTGGGTTATCTTAACCCAGCTTCGAACAACCCGGCCCAGAACATTTCAAAATCTGCAACCTCGGAAAAGTCGGTAATTTTCCTGTGACGTAAGAAACCAGATAATTGTGTCACGTGACCAGTTAGGGCCAGGTCCAGGAAAGAAGAGAAAACTTAAGATGGGGTTGCGAGATGTCACTCGGAAGATATTACATAGAGTACTTTTTGTTATTTTATTATTTTTCCTCGCATGAATCTGTCTGGAATGCGGGTTGACTCGCATTTTTATTCGATTAACAATTAAGCAAAGTAGGTCATAGTAGTAATCAACCACTCCTACCCCGTTTAGAATTTTCTTTTGAATATCATTATGACATCACGTCTCACGTGACCACTTCGGAAAGTTTTCCTAAAGTTTTTAGCAACTTTTAGAATTACAATATATGACCATAGAAGAAAAACAGCTTTATCTTCGTGGGGAGTCGAAACCAAAAAATGAGCCATGCTTTAACGTCTTGATGATTGGAACCCTGACCTGTGCGATACCAGTGCGGCGCTCTAAAAAGTGGCCGAAATTCCGCCCTCAAAGAAAGAGAATGGCCGGGGACTAAAGTAGCTATGCTCTTACACGAGTAGCTACGTTGAGTGTACTTAGCCTAGTTTGTTTCTGTCTTTATTTTCAGGGGATTTTTATATTTGTTGCACACTGCTGGACAAACGATTCGGTAAGAACGCGTACAATTATGTTGCCCCATTTTCCGTTCTTAAAGTGGAATTGTTGGTCATGAAACCTGTTAGACTCATTTGAAGTATGTTTTTGTTAGTCGTTTTGGACCTGACCGTGCACAACGTTCAATAGCATTCCTATCGTTTTGACCTTATTGACCAATAGAGACATCACGTTAATTTATTCAGTCACAATTTGTGAACAAAATGCAAAGGATTGTGTATGGTCATGGAACTTCCAACATAAAGTACAGCACAGTTGTTTTCAACTTTGATGTTTGCCAGCTTTCCTAACCAGTTTCCTCTACTAACTCTGGTCGTCACTAAGAATTTGCCCTTACTCCATTTTCATCCTTTGAAGTTTGTATCCATTGGTATTTCATTTTGCCTTCGTTAATTTGAGTAGGCCGTTTTCGAGTTACCCCAAGCCTCTGTTTTACAGCGAGGCTAAGTGCGAAACCGGTGATGGTTTTGCACTTAGCCATGTTTTGAAACTGGGAGTTCAGTCTGGAACTCGGAAATGGCCTACTATTAGAAAATTTGGTTATTGTTTTCACTAGGTACGAGAAATTTTCCTTGAAAAAATGCCAAGCTTCAACATCAAAGGTAAATATAAGATTGGTAAGAACCGGAAGCCGAGCAACGCTCGTAGCAGCAGTACCTCTCTGGAGACAGCCACAACAAGCACTACATCGGTGAGACTCGTGACCATTAACAAGTCACCGACAGGTCCTCGGAGACTCTACGAACAGCCTCCGATGAAACTCGTGAACGTAGAGCAGGAGACGGCGATTGGTCGAGAGGAGCCCTACGATGAGAGATCCGTCAGACTAGTGAATCTAGCAAAGTTACCCTCGAAGTACGCGGACGTGTTTGATATTCCAGCCGCTAAGCTTTTCAGTGTCAATAAACCACCACCGATAAGGCGACAGGACAATTTTACATCCCTATCTTCGGTGAACCTCGTCACGCCCGACGACCTTCCGATTACACCTAAAGAGGCTTACGACAACCCCACTTACGCTTTCTGGTATCAAAACAATGCTCAGTAAAACCGCACAGTTTATTGAATGACTGTCGCAGAGGATAATCAGCACTCAGGGTGTCAAATGAATCACTGATTAAAATAGATGCTTTTGTTTTTAAATTCAGTTTACATCAACGATACCTCTCAGTTTTTTGCTGAAACTAAGTAGCAGTTTAAAACTATTTATTCTAACTTATATTATTATTGATGAAAGAGAGTCAAGAAACAATCAATATTAATGAATCATTAAATTATTTTCAGTGCGTCTATACAGCATTATATCTAAGTGTATGAGTATGTGATTTTAATAATGTAAATAAGTAGTGGTATAGGCACCGGTCACGCCGTTTTTTTTTTCCGGAGGAATACGTTAACGCCGATTACGTCATAGCCTTTTATTTTTATCTCGTCAATAAAATACGTAGGAATCTCAGTAAGATAAGGTCCTGGGCTATTTTAGGCGGTTTATACAGTTGGACAGGGTTTTTCTATTTTTAGATGGATAATGCCAAGTTATTTTTTAATTATGTGTCACTGTGTCATATCCTTATGTGGGTAGGATATCATTGTTTTTTTGTATTGGTCGTATCCTTTCTTGGGTGTGATAATGTCTAAACTGTTTTGTGATTAGTGGACATCTCTCAATTTGCAATTTGATTGGCTGCCGGTATGTTCTATTGTGTCTAAGTCCATAAAACCCTCTATTATAGGTCAATAGGTGAAATAAAATCACTGAACCGTGGCAAAATTATGCACGCTCTGTTTCCTGCAACTTTAATGTCTATAAAAAGCAATTTTCTATTAAGATTGTCATCAAACACTTGTTTTCGGCCTCTGTTACACAAACTAAGCGGATAAAGAAATGCAAATTTTCACACTTTCCTAAATAGATGTCTTTATAGTCTAAAAAGACTTATCTAGATCGTCAGCTACCACTTTTTCTAGGCCTGTTTTACCTAAATTAAAAGAATCAAGAAATTTAGAATTTTTGACCAAAACAGTGGACATTCCTAGATCGATTTTTTTCAAGTTTAAAAACAACAATCTTCTATCGACACCGTCGACAAACACTTGCTCTCAGCCTATTTCACCTAAAATATCATGGAAGAAAAATACCGTAAATAGTAACCAAACACCTGTTCTCGGCCAATTTTACCGAAATTAATGGGATAAGGAATCTTCAGATTTTTGACCATAACCATGGACAAACCCCTTAAGAAAAATGCAAATTTGGTGACTTTCACAAATCGAGGTTATAAAAATGAATAATAAAACGAATAGTATTCTATCAAAATCGTCGCCATACACTTGTTCTTAGCTTCTTTACTTATAAAAATTGAACAAAATCGATGTTTGACAGTCTAAAGAGAGTAATTGTCTATATGAATCCTAAACGAACACTTTTTCTCGGCCTATTTTACCTCAATTCAACGAATAAAAAAATTCAAATTTTCGACCAAAAACATGGACTACCCGTAAAAACTAAGGTTTGTGTCGTTCCCAAATCCATGATTTTTAGTCTAGAAAGTCTAGTTTTCTATCGAGATCATCGCCAAAAACCTCTTCACGCCCTATTTTATCCCATTATTATAGTCTAGAAAGGCTTTTTCCTATCTAGAATATGGCCAAATACCTTTTCAGTGCCTGTTTGCCTATTAAATAAAAAGAAGGAAAAAAATTCAAAGCCATGGACCAACCCCTTTGGAAAAATGTCTATTTTTCCACTTGTTTAACATCTTGTTTTCATAGTCTAGGAAGGCTTTTTTTATCTGGAAAATCGCCAAACACTTTATTCTTGTTTATTTTGGGTAAAACAAAAGAATGAAAATTTTCAAGTAATATATCAAAAACGTGCGCGAGGGTTTCATCAGGGATTCCAAACTCCGAGAAACAGACGAAAGCACGAGGCCGCAGGCCGAGTGCTTTAGTTTCGAGGTTATTGGAACCCCTGATGAAACCCGAAGCACGAGTTTTTGAGATGACTTCTCAAACGAAACAATAAAAAAAAATGTAGTGATACATTTTTTTGTATTGTCCTCCCCAAATGAAAGAACAATAATTTATGCAGCGATGCAATCTTGCCATATTACGTAACATTACTTCAACATGCATGATTAATTGTTTTGGTGTAGTTGGTGTTGTCCTCATGAATAATTAATAAGTTTGAGAATTTTTTTGACCAAAACCATCGACTAACCACTTTGCAAAAATGCCAGTTTTTCGACTTTTTTTAACTCCTTGTTTTTATAGTCCAGGAAGACTTTTTTTCTATCTAGAATATAGCCAAACACTTTTTTCTTCCCTATTTTGCCTAAGAGAAAAGGATGGAAAATTTTTAATTTTTTAACAAAAACCATGGACTAACCTCTTTGGAAAAATGCCAATTTTCGTATGTGCCGCGCCTTTTTTTTGGCGCCAATTTGAGTGAGCAACTTTTTTGCTGGTCCATTTATTACTGCTGGCTTAAACCAATAAGGCAGAGCAGAACGTAGCGTTAAGCTTTACTGCCTTCGTGACTATGTAACACTTAATTGATACTTAATGATTTTTTGTTGCTTTCGACAATACTTTCTCTCTTTCTGCCCACCATTATAATAAAGTCAAATGTCAAAACGCTAGAGGGAAAAGAACGCTTGTTGAACGTAAAGTCTGGCTAGCTACAATTCTAGGGATTATTAATTAATACTGTGGACGGATCAGATCATAATTGGGACTAAATGAACAGCCCGAGTCAATCTGCAATCCAGAAATCGAGTGAAGCGAACTGCTCTCTGTCTCCTTTCGGCCTTTCCACGTGTCTTCGCACCTCCCTTGTTTGTGTGTATGCATGCGTTTGATCGTGAAAAAAATTCTAAAACGGTAGGAAGGGGGAAAAAAAGAAAAAATGATACACACTCAATTGCCAGGACTCGAACTCGCTCTTCTCTGCCAGCTGTTAGTTTCGCGTGCCGGAAACTTAACATCCTCGGAGACCCAGGGGTAGATAGTGGGGGCGAGGGAAAGTCTAAACGGGCGGAAAAATATGGCACGAAGAAAAGTAAAGAACGGCGAGAAGAGCCCCTGGGTACAATGTCTTACCAGACCAGTTCCAAACGGTCGCCGCCGTTCTGACTTCTGATTGGACAGAAAAACACAAAAGTTTTCTGGCACCAATCAGAAGTAAAAACAGCGGCGACCGTTTGGAACTGGTCTGGTAAGACATTGTTCCCAGGGGCTCTTCTCGCCGTTCTTTACTTTTCTTCGCGCCATATTTTTCCACCCGTTTAGACTTTCTCTCGCCCCCACTATCTGCCCCTGGGTTTCCGAGGATGGAAACTTAACCAAGCAGCTAAGGAAAGAAAATACAAGATCCGTTTTCATCTCTGAAAACCACCGTCTGAAAAAGAAACGCTTCTCACGCGGTTGCAAATACAAATATAGGTAAACGGAAACTGTAAAGTTAATCGTGCAGAAAAAATTAATTAAGTAGAAGGGAGCGTCACCTTCCAAAACATCTTTTCTTCAATGGACGACTTTCGTGCTGTAGTATCGGTGCTGCCATGCAGCTCGACTAATAAAGGCAACAAGAAACTTTGTGGCTGTGCGGAAAAGGCTAATCGACAATGAGCCTTCGGGGCTTTTTGATATTCATTCTGCATAGATTACACAGGGGCACCGAGCGTCAATTTTCGGAAGAATATCTGTTCGGAAGACGATTTGAGATCTAGAAATTTCGAAACATTTGTTGTAAAATTTCTTGCTTGCCTGCCTCTCCTAGGATTTTCGAACATGTAAAAAATGGTATAATTGCCGATTTTTAACGGATTTTTACCCTAAAGAGGTCACCTAGAATTTTCGGGAGCCTTTTTTCTGGCTGAAATTTTCGAAAAAGTAAGTTTTGATCCCTATTATTTTAGGATCACTAGACTTTCAGCTAGGAAATCCGAACAGATGAAAAATTTTTAGGGGATAAAAATATGCCTATATCTACCGTTTAAATACTAAAATACGTTTAACAATGCTATGTTTAAGTGGTTTTGAACTATATTCTCGTTGGGTGCCCCTGATTACACTCCACCAGGAGCCGATTCGGCTCCTGATGCCACATAATTATGTCATTCCCCAAACCATGCCACATGCAATTCTGCAAACTCATTCCGCCTCTTAACCTCACCGGTTGTCAACAGAATTTACGCGAAACCATCACCATGTTCAAGCATATCGAGATTTTTTCTAACATACTGACTGTATATTTCAACTGTAAGTACTTTCCATTCTATACGCGCGCCTTCTGGGAAAGACATCTCACTGTCTGTCACTAGTAATAGTTGACACTAAAGCTGCCCCCATTCTGTATATTGTCGCTCAATAGTATTCTTGCTGGTTGTGTAGCTCTTTGAAATATACCGATTCATAATGAAGATTTTCACACATATTCCATACAATAGGTGAGATAAATACAGGAAACGCAAGGTTCCATGCACGGCAGTTTCAGCTCAATTTACACAGCTTTGATCAAAACATTCTCAGTTTCGAGAATAGTTTATTCTAAACCGTAAGAAAAGATTTAATTAGAAGTTGAATTTTTCGCTATTTCTCTTTAACTCAGGGGCGGATCCAGGATTTTTTTTAGTGGGGGGGGGGGGNCCCTAGATCCGCCCCTGTAACTTTTTACATTCAGTTCATTTTATTTGCCGGAAAGTAAGCCTTAGAAATTAAAAGGATGTTTGATCGATTCACGCTCGCGCATTCTAGTCTTATTTGAAACTTTATAACGGAAGGACATCTGTGAGCAGGGTATAAGTCAGCACAGAATTTGATTGTCGGTTCATTTCCGTAATTGTCCATCAATCTGAGTGATAAGCTAGCCGTTGTTCACTCGTCTTGCTTGATTGGGGCTGAGTCTTATTCCGGTCAAAGAGAGAGAAAGAGTGTCTGGCAAGGTTTCCAATATAAATCAAAGATTTCTGAACTCGTGTCTGGCAAACTCTCCAAGTGTTTATATATAAACAGTTAAACGCACGTTATAACCTCATCTGCGCTTAA